TTAGTCCTTTTTATTTGTTGTGCCAAGTCCTCTTTCTCCAGAATGTTCAATTTATGTTTAATTAAGTTCATTTGTTGTTTTAGATTTCTTTTTTTTTTGTGGCTCCTTTTGGATATTTGCCTCCAAGCTTTTATATTCCTCTTCTAGGCATTTCTGTCATTGCTTTTTCCTCTCTTTTTTTTTTTTTTGCCATGTAGGATACAATCACTCCCCTCATGTATGCCTTTGCCATATCCCATAAGTTTTGCAGGAATGTATCTTCTTTCATGTTTCTTTTAAAATAAAGATGCAGCTCTTTACCCATTCATAGCCTTAATCCTTCATCCTTTAAAATTGATCTTTGTAATGTCCATCTTGGAGTTTTCTTTTGTCCTTTCCAACTAAATTTCATAGGGTTATGATCAGCCCAGAGATTTGTCTCAATTTCCACTTCCTTTACTTCAGAATTTAATTCCATTGACATCTGGACCATGTTGATTCTGGACCATGTTTGATGTCTATTCGAGTAATGCATATATTGGTTCTTCCTGTGATTTCTCTCTCTCCAAATATCTTGAACATTTAATTCCTCTGCCATTTTAAAGAAGGTTTTTGGGAGTGTTCTTATTCTTTTCTTTATTTTATTACTTTTATAGTCTAGTTTTTGTCCATGATTGTGTTCAAATCTCTTAAGATACAAATATTATCACACTTTATATCACAGATGGTATTATGTAATTTCCTATAAAATTGCTCCTGTCCTCTGCTCGGTGCATAGATTTCTACTAATACAACCTTTTTTTGGTTTATTACTATCTCTACGATCAAAATCCTTCCTTCTTCATCCTTAAAGATTTGCTTAGCCGGAATCGTCTCTTTAACATATAACACTACCCCTCTCCTTTTTTGTTGTGCTGATGAAATGAATGTATTCTCTAGTTTGGGATATTCTTACTATTGTTTATGTTGTTCCTTTAGATGGACTTCTTGTATTGCTATTATGTCCAAATTAAGTCTTTTTAATTTATTAAAGATTTTCCTTCTTTTTATGGGAGAGTTTAATCTGTTAATGTTCAGTGATAAGATATTGAACTCTTCTTGCATTTCTCTACTTATATCTGGGTTTTGTGCTACTTGTTGTTCTGACCTCTTTTAAATCTTTGTGTCTTCTCTTGTAGTTCTCTGCTTTCTTCTTTTCCTTTTCCCTCTCCTTGGATTGTAGTGCTTTTTCTTCCATAATCAACAATATTGTGTCTCTTTCTTCTATTGTATCCCTCTCTTCTGATTCTTTTTCATTGCCAAAATGTTGATTATAGAATTCCTCCACCTTATCCAAAGTGTCCAGCCTTTTATCTTGCCAAGAGCCCTCCGGTGTCAACCAACTAAAATCGATGTTATACTTAGTAAACTTTGATGTCAATAATTTTTAGGGTCTTCTCAATTCTCTTATCCTTCTTGGTACTTGCCTGAGAACTACTAGTTGTTTCCCTCTATGTTCTATTGGTTCATCCCTTGTCCTATGTAGTACTTTATCCCAGACTGACTTCTTCATGAATCTAAAATGTATTTCCTTTGGGAGGTTATGTCTCCTTGCATAGTTCATTTGCACCCTATAAATTTCATCTATCTCCATCAACATCTCCTCTTTCTCTGTTCTGAGTGCTTTTGCTATTAATTCTGTCATTGTATCCAGTAGATCTTCTCCTTTCTCTTATTTTACATTCTGACAGTGTAGATAGTGTTCTGCTTTCTTGGCTTCTAGAAAGATCACTGTTGTTTCTAATTCATTATTTGCCTGTGTTAATTTCTCACTTATTACATCTACTCTCTTTTCTTCTTTCTCCATTCTTTCTTCCATTTCTTGTACTTTTTTTTTTCATGATTTATTGCTGGAAGCTTTCAAATTTTTCATCTATATTCTGCATCTTTTCTTTTAGTTCTGTATCATTCCCTACCTCTCCTATCTCCTTCTTCATTTCTTCATGGTTCCTTGTCATAGTCTCTTGCATTGATTGCAGAATGGTTTGCAGATCTTTAAATGAGTTTGACTGTTTCTTGAAGCTCCCACAACTTCCAAAGGCAAGCTGTTCCATTGGTTGATTATTCTTACTGTGAGAAAATTTCTCCTTATTTCCAGGTGAAATCTCTCCTTGTTCAATTTCCATCCATTATTCCTTGTCTAGCCTTCTGGTGCTTTGGAAAATAGCTTGATCCCCTCCTCTCTGTGGTAGCTCCTCAAATATTAGAACACCGCTATCATGTCTCCCCTGGTCCTTCTCTTCACTACACTAGCCATATCCAGTTCCTGTAACCATTCTTCATATGTTTTAGTCTCCTGTCCCCTAATCATCCTGATTGCTTTTTTCTGTACGTTTTCTAGAGTCTCAACATCTTTTTTATAGTGTGGTGACCAAAACTCAATGCAGTACTCTAGGTGTGGCCTTAATAAGGCTTTATAGAGTGGTATTAGTACCTCACTTGATCTTGATTGTATCCCTCTGTTAATGCAACTTAGGATTCTGTTGGCTTTTTTTGGCTGCCATTATACACTGGTGCTTCATATTTAACTGGTTGTCCACTAATACTCCAAGATCCCTCTCACAGTTACTGCTATTAAGCCTGGTTTCACCCAGTCTATATATGTACTTTTGGTTTTCCTTGCCTAACTATAAAACTTTACTTTTCTCTACATTGAATTTCATTTTGTTAGATCTACCTCTATAGGTGGAAGCAGAACACAGAACTTGCAGAGATATTTATAGGTGGAAGTAGTACAGAGAAAAAGACAGGATTGTGTATGTGTGTTTGTGTGAGAGAGAATGTAAGGACAGAAAGAGAAATGATACAGACTATGACAGACATAGACACGATTCTTCTCAAGATTAATTAGCTTTCTTAAATTGGCATGGGTAGATCCATGTAACCCTTGGAGGCCTTCCAAGAAGTCCTTGAGGTATGTCCAAGAAAGTCAGAAGAAAAATAAAAGCTTACCTAAACTCAATGAACAAAATCTATCTCCATATTAGACTTACTGAATATTATTTCAGAATCAGTGTGGTTGCTGCTACGAAGGTATGCTGTTTGGTTTTGTTGTGAATTTTTTTTGGCACTGAACTTGGATGATATTTTTAATGCTGGATTAGTGAAAAAGATGATCTCTATGTTCAGGGTTTTTTTTTTTTTTTTTTTTTTTGGGAGGGGGCGGGTCGCATTTCTTCTATATATTTGAGGCTGGAATAATGTTCTTATTTTTGTCTCTTGCCAATGATGTATTCTATGTGAAAATCGTTTATTTTTAATGCAGAAGCATTTTGATGTTTTTGAGTTGCTCATGGTTATATTATGGCATGGAATTGTTAGAATGTTAATAAAAATCTGATTAAATAGGGGTTTAGTCTTAAGCTCTTTATCCATGTCTTGAGTTGGACTTGAGTTTGAGAAAGTGAATGTAGCTGTTTTCAACAAGCTGGTTTGGAGTTATAAACATGTGGTCCACAGATTGTCTTCTCTATGTTCAGAAGATAGATTTTTCATCATACAGGGTAGAAGGGCTATGCCTAAAAGGGGGAGAATGAGCCATCATGTACCAGTGGTTTGTTGGTGGCTACCTACATTTGCTTCATGAAGAAGAGGGGATGCCCAACTCAGTTTTGTTGGACATCAAGCAACAACAAGCAGCAATTATTTTGAGAATTTGAATAGACCATTTACCAGAGGTTATAGGAGATAAATCCAAAACCTCATCCAAATGAGGCATCTCTTCTTCTTTGTAGAACCCTTCCTTCAAAGTGCTCTTCTGTACTGCAAAATCTTCCCTACACCTAATGTTTAAAAGCCTCTGTTATAAACTTTTAAGCATTAAACTGAATAATGTTCAGCTTAAATGACATACTCAAATAGAGACACGTCCAAATACTAAACAAATATGTATTTGTTTACTGTGGATGAAGGACACATTAATTTAGTTCTTATGAAACCTGCCAATGCTTTCCATCAATTATTCCTTATCAATATCCTATAAAGTTTCCTTTATCACTATCCGTACAATATAAACAAAATCATTTCCATAGGATTTAGAGAAAAATTGAATGGTAATAGGTCCTTATGAAAACATGAGCTGGGTGTTTGTTTGTTTGTTTTCCTTCTCTCTAGTTTTCAAATTCAGTTCATTCTCTCTAGTTCTCAAATTCAGCGAGTATATGCTGTCTCAGAGTGATAAACATTATCAAAAGCCAGCCAGTTAATGAAATCTGTATGAGTTGGAACAGGGAGAGGACACTTGTCTTAAACAGAACTACTGCTGAAAGTTATGCAAAGTAATTCAGTCCAACCATTCCATATAAATCTTTGTAAATTCTGCTTCAATACCTCATGACTACTTTCTTCAGTTTTACAAAGGAATTATTATTATTGTCATTTGCCCCTCTATAACTGTCTGATTTGGTATTGCAACAAAACAATATCTATAGACCCCTTACCTCCTGGACATAAACAGTTTCAACTTCTTCCCTCAAGATGATGCAATAAATGTAATCAACAACAGACACAAGAACAGTTTTTTCTCCCATGCCATCATTCTGCTAAACAACTAATTCCCACAACACTGAGAAACTACCTAGTAGGCCTGTATTACTATTATTCTTTTCATCTTTCCTATTACCCATTTCCTTATCTTCTTATGACTATAACTTTGTTGTTTGTATCTTATGATTTTTATTATTTATTTTATTTAGTAACCTAGTATGATTTATGTTGATTGCTTATTTAGTATCCTATCACTAAGTGTTGTATCTTATGATTTATGAGAAATGTATTTCATGAAGATTATGATAATGATTTATCACTTGTTGCTTGTATGTACAGTAGGAGGCTATGCCATGGAGACAAATTCCTTGTGTGTCCAATAACACTTGTCCAATAAATATTTCTCTTCTCTATTCTACTCTATTTTATTTCCCCCCCAAGTTTTATTTATTTTATTAATATGATATATAAAATTCATTGTTTTAGGGTAGAACAAGATGTCAAATGCTACATTTATTACTGAATTTGTTCTTCTGGGATTTTCTGAATTATATGAAGTGGACCTGGGATTTTATACTCTCCTACTTTTGATGTACCTTCTGTCAATTGTAGGACATTCCTTAATCATCATAGTGGTTTCCATGGAATCTAAGCTCCATACTCCAATGTATTTCTTCCTCCTCAACTTTTCCATGGCTGAGATTTCTTCCACAACATCAGAGATACCAAAGATGTTAGTCAATAGCTTCTCTGGCAAAAACACCATCTGCTTTGCATGTTGCATGGCCCAAGGTTTTGTGGTCTTCACAATGGGAGCTGTGGAGTTCATCACCCTCATGATCATGTCTTTTGACCGCTATGTGGCCATCTGCAAACCTTTGCATTATCAAACCATTATGACTAGTGGACTCTGTATCAAACTGTCTTTGCTGGCATGGATTGGTGGGTTTGGACTCATATTTCCTCAGTCAGTCATGGTGTGGACGTACCCCTATTGTGCGCACAATCTCATTGATCATTTCTTTTGTGATGTTGGTCCAGTTTTGCAGTTGGCTTGTGCTGACACAACTATTATTGAATTTGTAGGACTCATATATGGAGCCGCTATCATGTGGGGTTCTTTTGGATTTTCCCTGATTTCATATGTCTGCATTATATTTACTATAACTCAGATCCCTTCTGCCACTGGGCGCTCCAAAGCCTTTTTCACCTGTGCCTCCCATCTTACTGTTGTAACTATTTTTTATACAGTGCTGATGATTATGTACTTGAGGCCTTCAACTCATGGATACAGCCAACTTAACAAAATATTGTCTCTTTTCCATACGAGTTTCATACCCATGTTAAACCCTTTCATTTACACAATCCGGAACAGTGACTTCAAAACAGCTCTGTGGAAAGCAACAACAAAAATGAAGAGGAGATGCTAATGGTGCGTGACACTTTATATGTCTTGCATTCCCTCTATTCCTTGTCCTGAGCAGAACTCCCTTCTTATTCTGACCTAGGCTTCCTTAGAAAGAATAAAGCACAATCTTAATCCTGGCAAAACCTCTTTTATTTCCACAGCTGTGAGTTACATTCATTCACAGCAGACCAGGCTTAACAACAGTCTTTCAGGGAAGTGTTTATAAACACCCATCTTATCACACTTGGAATGTGACCAGAGAACTAATTGCCAGATGCAGGGCAAGGCCAAACTTGACACAGAGTCAAACAGAACTTTTCAAAACTTGAACTGACCAGATGAATTAATTGCTTCCTGCAAATTTCACATCCTGTTCACTCCTCTTTTATGTCCTATGGGAGGGGCCAATCATCTCCAAGGTGTGGCCTTACTCCTGAGTCGACCCTGCTTTTTTAATTGTTCTTGTCTTCTTCTAGCTCTGTACATGCGCAGGCTGGGAACCAGTTCCATAAGCTCCCCCACATCACTGCTGTCTGAACCCAAAGGCAGCTGCTGACTGCCAGCCTGCCCTGGTCCCATCTCTGCCTCTGATGCAGAGTCCTCCTCTGTATCTTCCTCAGGCTCCGGACCTGGTCCAGATTGTCCCCAACCTCCTCACTACTGTCCAACTCTTCTGCCAACTCCATCAGCTGCTGGCGGGCCACATCACTTCTTTTGTCCTCTGTCTCCTGTAATATAGTGGCGTGCCATCTATTTGAACTAAAACTGATGATGTTATTAGTTTGGGCAATGAAATGTTTGCAAGAAAACAAGCAAGCTCAGAGAGCACCAAGGTGTCAATGTATATGGATGTATGAATGCTCCATGAAACTGGGTTATAGCAAACATAAATATCTTGGTTATGATAATGAGTTGCTTCATAGATGCATGCTTGCAGAGGTTTGTGGTTCTTTATGTGTATCTTTCTAAACTTTTTCTGCATTTCAGTTTCTCATCCTGGATTTACAATGGGAGAAAGAGATGTTAATCTTTTATTAGGGGAATGAAGATGTCAGCATTCCAACTAACCAACTCCAAACCAATAGACAAACATTTCTCAAAGTTCCATTTTATTAGAGTTGTCATAGTGGCACATCTGGGAAAACCTGAATTTGAGAGTTCCGGGTTTTCCCTTTCCGAAAGAAAATCAAAAATCCAACCCCTGCATCCATCAGTCCATCATATGGTCCAATCAAATGTTGTCCCAACTGGAGACATACCTCCAGTCACTCCCCTGCAGGTGCAGAGCAACAAGTCCTTGACTCTCTGAGAAAGAATGTTGTTGGGTCTAATGTTTTACCTCACTATGAAATCCCTCCTCCCAAATTCCCAGGCACTGAATGTGGCAGCCTCGAAGCTTCCAAGTAAAAAAATGGCTTCCAAGGCTGACAATAGAACTGGGAACTGTACATTCCATAACTAATCCACAATCTCTAGTTCTCCAAAATTCTATCCCTAAAAATGTTACCTTATTGGATAATGACTTCAAGATAACACCCAAATCCAAACCCAAACAGCATCAAGGACTATGCAGTTCAATATATTCTGAGCTACATATATTCAGATAACAGACAGATAACAGACAACAGATAATCAGAGTTGGAAGGGACCTTGTAGGTCATCTAGTTCAACCCCTCACCCAAGCGAAAGACCCTACACTATTTCTACAAATGGCAGTCCAATCTCTTTTGAAAAGCTTCCAGTGAGAAGCTCCCACAACTTCCGAAGGCAATTTCTCTTTCATTGGTTGATTATTCTCACTGTCAGAAAATTTCTCCTTATTTTTAGGTTAATTTCTCCTTAATCAGTTTCCATCCGTTATTCCTTGTCTGGCCTATAGGCGCTTTAGAAAATATCTTGACTCATTTCTCTCTGTGGCAGCTCCTCAAATATTGGAAGACTGCTATCATATCTCCCCTGGTCCTTCTCTTCTGTAGACTAGCCATGCCCAGTTCCTGCAACCATTCTTCATATGTTTTATTCTCCAGTCCCCTAATCATCCTGGTTGCTCTTCTCTGCACTTTTTCTGTTCTCTTCTATTGGTACCATTTGATATTCATCCCATTGGAACTTTCAGCAAGCAATAAACTCAATGGGAGATCACATGATCAAACCAAAGAGGAATCAAGCTTTGGCCTTCCTGCCCATCACAATAAAGCACTCAAAGCAGTTCTCATCTATTTCTTATCTGTATCATGGAAGCTCCAAAACAATTTTTGACTTGGTAGGATATAAGGAAGTCAGCCCTTGAGTTTTCAACTCAGCATGGCTGGTGAAGCAAGTGTGTGACAAAAATATCAGCTTCTTTGTGTACCCAGATGTGAAAAGAAGGAAATCTAGAGAGCATTTGGCTGACTCCAACTCTCTTCAAAGGAGGAACTGAAAGTAACCATGGAAAGAGGGGAGGAAAACCCATCAAAAAGATATGCTGGGCCTCCTACAAGATATTGTACAGGAACACTTCCAAATTCAGTCATTGTGTATCTTGCACAGTAGTAGGTGGCAGTATCTTCTACTTTTAGAGCATCTATCCTTAGCTGTGCTGTCGAACCATGGGTGGACGGGGTAACACGGCCCTTAAATTCATTGGCAGTGTATGTGGTATATCCAGTCCTGAAGGATGTGATAAAGACAAGCTTTTTGCCATTAGATTGACGAATCCAGCTCAGATGGTGGTCATTGATATCATATCCTGATACTGTGCAAGTCAGAGTAATGGATCTCCCTGGAAGTGCCAGTGCTTCAGGAGGCTGGGTCAAAGTAATAGTGGCAGAAACACCTATTTAAAAAGAACAAGATAAAGACATTAAAAGGTTACAAATGCAGAAAGATAACAACAACACATCACTTCTTTTCTGAATTCATATTCTGTCCATATGTTCCATCTCACCCAAGATTCAATACAATATGAAAAATCTCATGATTTTTCCAGATGTGGGGATTTCAAACCCCAGAAGTCACCAGTGAATAAGGATATTGCTGAGAATTCTGGGAGTTGAAGTCTGTACAGTTAGAAGTTGCCAAGGTCGGACAACACTATTAATAACAATTTTCTGTTTTAAATTACTTACCAGCAGATCTATGTGGGGAAGATATTTAAATCATGGAAAAAGAAGAAGTGGGAACAGGAAGCCTTAGATTTGGGGAGGGAAAAATTGGTGACTTTTTTTTATTTATGAAGAATTACACACTGGAGATAAGACCTTTGCTGTATTTTTAAATTTAGTTCCAATTTTTATTTCATTACAATGGAATCATACTATTTATTAATATATTAAATAAATATATTAAAATATTAATATAAATATATTAAACTGACAAAATGAAACATGGTTACTCACCAGCCATTAAGAGCAAAATAGCAAGGCTAATATAATTGAAGTACTTCATAATGTCAGGTGGATCTTTCCTTTGAATTCGGGGACTTAATGTCATCTATTTGAACAATTGGAAAGTTTGACAGCTAATTCTTATATAATCCATGACATGAAAATTAGTTTGCATTTCAGAAATGTTCTTCCTCCTCTCATTTGAATTTTATATCTGTCTCTCTACTTCTACGGCATTTTTTTCTCATAATAGTACAGAAACAAGAACTTCATGATGTTAATTGCTGGTTATTATTTCTTTCTATTACTTATTATATTCCATACTCTAGCCAGTTCTCATCTGGTTTAGCCTTCTAACTTTATACTTATATGTGAATATATGTAAAATAAATATAAGTTTGTTTAAGAAGAAAGAATAAAATACATGTTTATTTATTTATTTATTTTGTCAAGCAATTATTAGATAACAGGTACAAGTATAAACATGGTTATGAATACATGAAATGGATATGAATAAGAAAAAAAGAAACAATAGGACAGGGATGGTAGGCATGTTGGTGCGCTTATGTATGCCCCCTACAGACCTCTTAGGAAAGGGTTGAGGTCAATAGTAGACAGTCTAAGGTTAAAGTTTTTGGGGTTTGGGGAAGAAACCACAGAGTCAGGTAGAGTATTCCAGACATTGACTACTCTGTTGCTGAAGTCGTATTTCCTGCAATCAAGTTTGGTGCAATTTACCTTGAGTTTGTATCTATTGTGTGCTCTTGTATTGTTTTGATTGAAGCTGAAGTATTCATTGACAGGTAGAACATTGCAATATATAATTTTATGTACTACACTTAGATAGAACCGAAGGCAGCGTAGTTTTAGGTTGTCTAGGTTTAAAATTTCGAGTCTGGTGGCATAAGGTATTCTTCTATGAGTAGAGGAGTGGAGGACTCTTCTTGTAAAATATTTCTGGACTTTCTCAATTGTATTAATATCAGATATATAATGAGGGTTCCAGATTGATGAGCTGTATTCAAGTATTGGTCTAGCAAATGTTTTATATGCTCTAGTTAGTAGAATGATATTACCAGAGAAAAAGCTACGCAGGATTAGGTTAACAACTCTTAATGCCTTTTTAGCTATGTAGTTACAGGGGCTCTAGCACTTAGATCATTTGAGATAAGTATTCCAAGGTCCTTGACAAAGTTTGTGTCAACAAGATCTTAACTATTCAGCTTGTATTTTATTTTCTGATTTTTTTTGCCAATATGTAAGACAGAGCATTTATTTGTTGAGATTTGAAGTTGCCATTTGTTTGACCATTCTGACATATAATCGAGGTCTTTTCAAGGGTAGCAGTATTGTGCTCAACATGCAAATGACTGACTGTTTAGTGAAGTGGACAAAAATCTGGTCTTTGTCCTTAAGACCAGTCCTTGAATTCATGGTAGGGTCAAAATTCACACAACAAGCATGTATTTATGATGATTGCAGCATCTCGGGTGATGGAATCAGTATTTGTGATTTTCCCAGATGGCTTCCAACAAGCAAAATCAACAGGGAAACCCAAATTCACTTTGCATCCATGTGATTCACTTAGCACATTTATCATTACTACTTATGTACTGCCTGACTCACAAATTGAAGGTGATGAAGAAGAGAAAGAAGAAGAAGGGGAGGAAAAAGAGGAGGGGGAAATCAGGAGGGGGAGGAGAAAAGGGGATGGGGAGGAGGAAGGAGGAAGGAGGAAGGAGGAGGAGGAGAAAGAGAAGGAAAATCTTTAATTTGAAGGAAACTTGATGATCCTGTATTCATTTTCTTCATAAAATAGGGGGATTTTATGGCTAGTATCATAGTAATTCTGTTGAAGAGAAAGGACTACAAGCCAACACAATGTCTCCACCCTTCTGTCATAACCAAAGGATAGCCCAATAGTTAAGACTTTTTGCCTGATTTATTGCTCAAACTGTGTTCAGTGAACTCTCTTTGAAGTAGGCCTGAAAGAAAGGGGAGGTGGGAAATCACATTTAAGAAATATTCTGCTGAATGCTTGCACTCTCAAAATGAATTTGGTACAAAGGAAGTATTGTTCTGTTTTATTGTGGCAATCCTCTTGCACAATAATAAATGGCCGTATCTTGAGCCATCAGTCCATCAATCCTCAGTTTGCTTGTAGAACCAGAATTGGAAAGGGCCATCCGTCCCTTAAATTTATTAACAACAATGACTGGATCTCTAGGTCTAAAACCACTTATGTAAACAAGTCCTGTTTCAGTGGGTTGAGTTGTCCAATGTATATGATGTTGATTAATATCATATCCGGAAGCCAAACATTCTCGGGTTACAGAAGTACCTGGAACTGCCGTTGCTGCCATGGGTTGAGTTAAAGTAGTGGATTCCAAAGAGCCTGCTAAAAGAAATATAAGATAAAAACAAGGAAGCAAGGCATTTTGTTTTAACTTTTAATTTAAAAAAAAAATCCATTAAATTGTCTTTTTTCCCCTACACCCCCTAGGTTTTGGCCTATCATTAAAAATCATGTTAAATCCATATGCTGTCCCAATGAAAAAAAGCCACTGTATATTGAAAAAGATTTTGGAATACTGGAGAAAAGATATCTCCCCACATTCCTACACAAGCTTCTATGACTGTTGTCACAGAATCAAAAACAAAGCTTTAGCAATTTCAATAGGTAAATAAAGGTCTCAACTGAGAATTATGGAATCTGAATTCAGAATTTCACAGGAGTTACAGTTGTATAGATTGTTTAGGGTAGTTCTAAATTAAAATGGTGAAATCCAAGCAACAAATGAAAAAGTCAGGGAGATTAACCTTATCACAGCCATCTGCCATTCTGCTCCAAAATTCTGTATTTCAGAGGGATAACAGGAAATATTTTCATACATAATAATTAACATTGAATATCAAAAGGGCAACCTGCTTGGAAAAAAAAATGATCATTGATTGTTGTTGTTCTCCTTACTTAGAATTAGAGATGTTCCATCTTATATCAGGTTGGTATAGTTTTACACAGTACCTGTAGTTGTTACTCACCAAACAAACATAGAAGAAGGAAGTAAATGTAAAAAAACCAGCCCATCTTGTAATAATGATCCGATATTACAAGTTATAAGGAAGTTATAACTTAAGTTATAAGGAAGACATATTTACAATGGCCAAATCACTGGAGCATTTGCATGTTCTTACCTACTCCAGGATGAGCAAATAATTTTGCATTTCAGAAATTTCCCTTCCTTTCTTGGTTCCTGCCTATCTCCATATGATTCTGGTCATTTGGAAATAGACAGACTACTTTGGAAATTTGGAAATACACAGAAAACAGAATCACTATTAACATTACTTGGGCAGAAGGGAAGTGCTTCTCTTCCCCTTCTTACTGTTCTTGTAGGCCTCTCCCTCAACCTATCCTTCTGAGAGGAGGAGCAAGAGCAGGAGGAGGGGGAGGAGGAGGAGAAACTTCAATTATATTTATCAAAGTACAGCTATGGTGCAATTGAGCTTAGATCTATGTTTTATTTTATTTATTTATTTATTTATTTATTTATTTATTTATTTATTTATTTTTATTTATTTATTTGATTTGCCAATTGTTTACAAGATAATAAGTATAAATGTATACATAGTTGTGAATACATGAAATGG